CTCTGTGTCCAGGTAACTCCTGGACTACAGACTTAAACAGTATGTTTAAACATATTCCAATAACAGATTTGATTAAAATACAAAATCTTTGTCAAGAATTCAGGGGAAAGAAAAATTACATTCTCAAAAAGAATTCCCTAAATAAAAAATTGTAACGGATTTGTGTAATAAATTAATTTCACTTTGTGTAAATTACACATATAATGACAGAATAAATGAATGACTTCCAGTTAAAATCATACCTACCCCCACTTTCTGATACACTTTATCTCCTTGCTCTTGTTGGCACTGGTAAAGGTCATCTTTCATATCCTTTAATTCATGTGTCTTTGTCACCAGCTGCTGGCGTTTCTGGATCTGTATTGTACCTACAAAGATAAAAACATTCTTTTGACAGTCTGACTTACATTAAGCAGTTAGAGGCACAGATGAACCTAAACATCATCTTCATTTTCTGTGCAATTCAGAAGCATTCTAACCTTGCAATTTCTGCCCAGTACTTACTAGTAACTGTTGAGCTGTAACAAGATTTCAAAACCAGATTGTTACTTACTGGTTCTGTTTCTTCCAATTACAAACAATTTCTCAGACCCAAAAATTTGCTATTACACTGTCTTTTATTTGATGATAACAAATGATGGAATTTCAGAACACTACATACAACTAAGTTAGATACAAAACAACAAGAGTAATACAGGAAAGAATATGTGTGATTTTTTTTTTTTTGCCATTTTTTTAGTAACGTGCAAGCCACTGAGGATAAAAGGGAGACCATTAGTCCAAGCATTATTCATTTCAGAACCACAACTTTTACTGTTTAGTGAAATTACATTAATAAAAGGATATTAGCACGGTATTTAAACTGTCATGCAGAAATGTAATTATTACACACTGCTCACACAGCAGCAAGTATTTGCAGGCCCTATCTTGTCATTCTTATCCATGAGTGAAGGCTGAAGAGTAAGCACCTATCCTATCTTCCAACTGTCAGATAAAGGCCAAGACACTATTTTTCTGAAAAAAAGTATCTTCCTTGTACTAGCCACCAATTTTTTCTGTCAAGTAAAACTTCTTTACTAGTAACTCCCTACCTATGCACACGTTCTGTAAACCCTAACACTGATGTAGTTTTTATTGCTTTGCTTTTAAGATTCTCTTGAATTGACTCTACAGCAGATGGCAACAGCAAGTTTTAGGCATCTCTTTCAAAACCAAGGCAGCAATAGGTAGACTTCTATTTCTGCATTTAAGGTGGGGGGTGTATTATTAAACAGAAGAAATTCTATAAATACTATTACACTGAGGAATTTTTTGTGCTCTCTTAATTTCTATTTAATGTATTGTCAAGTAGTAACTTAAAAACAGACAGTGCTCTACACCAAGTTTAACCTCAATAATTCAGTTCAGCTAAGGGAAAGTAACATTTTTACAGCAATGATTTTAAGTTTGCAGAGTCCTAATAAGCATTTATTGGAAGTATAAATCCTTGCTTAAGTGAATTTAAGTATAGTGACAGTAAATTTGTTTTACATATTTATGTTTTATAGATACTTTTGAAGAAGTCCATCCTAAGATCCTAAGAACCTTCTGAAGACTGCCTCTGAAAGATCATCATTTAGTGTAAAGGGGTTCATGTTAAGAGGAATTTGAATTACAGAAAAACAAACTCTGTTCCACTCCTTACCAAGAATCGTAATTTGGGCATAGTAAGCAAAAAGACATTTAGCAACAGAGAAAGGGTAGCAAAGACACTGAAAATGCATGTAATGAGCTATCATTCCTCAGTAAATGGTTTGTGTTTCCAGCTGGTACTCTAAGGTGCAGTATCCTTTGGTAATCTACCCGAATCCCTAGCATTACAGTAATATTCCCTTTCGCAGATTCTATTGAAAACAATAAATTAAATATCTGAATGGCCCATAAGGGGACACTCTTCCGGCAAGGGCTTCCAAAGTTTAGCTTTTTCAATTACCTATCTTCCTGGAAAGCTTGCCCCCTCTCAGATCTCCTTCCTAGATCATCACAAAGCCAGCTAACTCAGTTTAATGCTGATTAGGATACAGTTATTGATTAAAACCTAATTCTAGTTGCTTTCTACATCTTTAGAAGTCTTAAAGGGGTCCTGGAGCTCTAGCTAAAGGGAAAATACTATCCTGACACTGACCCCCCCCCAAAAAAATCTTTTTCATAAAAAGTTCCAATCCTCTGACAGAAGAATTAACCTAGCATTAAAAGACTGCTGTGTAAAACATTCATTCCAAGCTGAATCACAAAAATGCAAAGTAGTTTCCTAGGGAGCTGGACTTCTTTGCAAGTTTGTGTTAAAAATAAAAAAAATTTTAAAAAGGAAGCTGGAAAGCAGGGTTTGATTTCATTTCCAGGGGTAGAAAGATTAGTTATCACATAACCATGAAGAACCTGAAGAAGCAAAAACTAAAGCCACACAGAGCTGCCTTCTTTCTGTGGAGAATGCCGTCACCGCTGCCATCAGTGCGTCGGCGGGGAGCACAGTGGTGGCAACAGGGAGCTCTGCAGCTGAGCACGTGCTGAGGGGGAGCGGGAGGTCCCGGAGCGAGAGGTGACAGACGTGACACCGAGTCCCCTCAGGAGTGGCCGATGCTGGCACGGTGCCAGGGACAACCACGGGCGATTTAAA